TCCCATGCTGAACTTGGTTTAGTCCTGTGGGGGCTAAGACAGAGAATGTTGTTGGAGGAAGAAGAATAGACCATACTTACCAATCTCTCAAATGTTGTTTTAGTTGGGTTGCTGGAAGAGAAAAGTGACAGAGACAGTTCTCTCACTGTTTGGGATATTTCCTCAGAACTGGTCTATAAACTGGAATATAAAAACTACCTATTGATTTCAGAGGACTTTTGTGAGGATATCTCCAGCAAATAGGGATAAAAATACTTCGAAAACGTTATTGCACTTCCTTTAGTATGGCTTTTTGTTGTACCTCGTTTCATCCAAGTATACAGGCAGACATCACATGAATACATATATTTGTCTAATATATTGGTCTTAGCAGGTAGGGATAAAATTCCATACTTTACCTGTAGTGCTATGTCATTATGTTGTGCTTTGTTCAACATATGCAATCCCAGAGAAGATATTTTTTATAAGAAGTGCTCTAATCTCATAACATTGACTTGGCTAGGGAATTCCAGACAAAGTTCATTGATTTCAGAGTGAGTTAGAATTTCTTTTATCTTGGTTTCCAACCAGGGTGAAAGCATAGGCCAACAATGCCTTGATGTAAACATGGCTCCCATGGGTCCTCTCCTTTACTGTGTTCCAGGTTGAGTCCTAGAGCATTGCATGCAATAGGGTGCTGTAAAGGCAAAAAGAGGGTGGTGTCAGATTAAGGTCACTGGGTGGTGCAAACAGTTTGACCTTGGCTACTAACTGAAAGGTTGATGGTTGGAATCCATCCAGTGGCTCTGTGGAAGATTACAGCCATTGAAAACCCTGTGGAGTGAAGTTCTACTCTGACACACATGGGGTTGCCATGAGTTGGAACGGATTCAATGGCAATGAGTTTGGTGTCGTATTAAATTGAAAAGAGGAGGGAACAAGCCCTGAGCTGGATATTGCTAGAGAGGTGTCATTAATGGTTTTTAACTAGCCAGGTGGACAACCAGATACCCATCATATATAAACAGAAGAATATTTTAGATCTCTTAACTTCATAGTTGGAGTCCTTGGGTGGTGCAAACAGTAAAGCGCTTGCCTTCTAAATGCAAGCTGGGTGGTTCATGTCCACCCAGAAGCACCTTGGAAGAAAGATCTGGTGATCTACTTCCAAAAAATCAACCACTGAAAACACTATGCACAGTTCCACTCTGACACAACTGGGGTTGCCATGAGTCGTTATCAACTTGATGGAAACTGTTTATTTATTTTTTAACTTCATAGTTAAGTCTTAAATAATAAGGCTAGAGAACTGGAGTTTTTAGGATTAGTTTTGGACTAGCTTAGCAACATGCTCCAAGGGCATTACTGGACAAGTATAAATCCTCCTTAATGGAC